AGAGAGAGAGAGAGAGAGAGAGAGAGAGAGAGAGTAGATGGACACACACGAAAAGCAGCAGCTGAGTGAAGGTCCAGTCCGGCTCAATGAAAGAACGAACAACTGAATGAACCAACTAACCCCCGGGCCTGGGCCTAGGCCGAAGTGATATACCGGCCTAGGTCCAGGTACGGGAACAACCTGGTACCGGACCAGGGTCAGGCCGACGGCCTGAAACTGGTCCGGTCTCACTATCGGGCCGTAGGGGTACCGCTACACCTAGTGTGAATGCCCTCAAGGAAAAGGTGGAACAATTCGAACATTACGCTGGGGCGGGGGTCAACTGGGATAAATCAACAGTGATGCTGCCGGAGAATGCAGACAGAGACTGTTTTCAAGGGATGAGGATAGCTCCAGCAGAACAAGACGTCAAATACCTGGGAATAATGTTGCCAGTAGCGCTGACTGATGGCAAACAGATGGAGGGTCTGTTGATGGGGGCGATTGGGAAAATGAATCACTGGGCAAAAGGGGCAGACCTGGGAATAGTGGGGAAGGTAATCATTGCCAATAATGCGGTCTCCTCGACTTTGTGGTATGCGGCCCCGCTGTCGATACCAGAGAAGAGGGCATGGAGGGAATACAAATTGGCAGTTCGTCGATATCTATGGGAAAACGATCAGATGGGAGAAACTTATCCAGTCTCGGAAAACGGGAGGTATGGCGCTGCTGGACCTGCACAAGCAAGCCTGCGCGCTCCAAATACGTACAATGATGTGCTTGATGCGCCGTGGAAAGTCATCACACTGTCCAGCATGGCACAAACCCTGAAGGTGGATCCGGCGGATGTGGAGAGCATTGCTGCATCCACAACTCCGACAAAGACTGACAAGAGACACGATGTGGACAAGGACTTTGGAGGAATGAAAGAAGTCGGCCTTAACACAAGTGGCTCCACGGTCGATGTCCCAAGTTCTGGGCCAAACACTGTTTGGTAATCGATTCATATGTAAAAACGGAAGACCGTTTCCGTGGCAAGGAGAACACGAAGCTTTTGGCAAACAGTGGCTGAAATGCGGAGTGTATCGAGTGCTGGACCTGTGGGATGGAGAAAGGGGGGATTGGAGAAGGGAAGACCAATTGGAAGCCCAACTCAGACATCAGCCAGACAGACAGGCACGACTGCGACAGTTGAGGGAGGGAATCCCGGGAGATTGGATACAAATGATGCGGGCCAGGGAGAGGGTGAAAGGGGAATGGGTGACAATTGACATAGAGGACCCACCAAAGACTCTGTTCCGATTTCAAAGACGAGAGGGAGAAGAATGGTATATGGTGGAGGGATGGAGGATCAAAGGACTGGAGACTGCAGTGGGAGAACCGATGGACCGGGACCCGGGGCGGGACGGCCTGATACATATCCATAACATGAGATCGGTGGTGGTCCTTAAAGACCGACTGCAGAAGCATGGACAAAGATACAGGCAATTCAAACCTGCAAAGTCACCGCTTCAACTACCGTGGGATCTGTCCATGTGGGAATGGCGTGCGACGAATACACAACAAAAACATACGAGTCCGCACTAGACGACGACCAAAGTCATATATAGATCGTTGAATCTGCCGACGGACATGGTGAATGAGATGAGGGACAGATGGAAGAAGAGAGGTCGGGTGACAACAGAGGGAGCACGATTCTGGACACGGAAAAATTGGGAAACAGCGTGCACCACACTGGCTGTGCTACCGGACCAGAAACAAGCAGGGGATCTCTGGCTTAACCTGCAGTTGGCGATTCCCACTTTTCAGTGGATGGCCTCACACAGCAAATTCACTGACACACAATGCAAGATATGTGAGCAAGCGGAAGAGGCATTACCACACTTATGGATGGACTGCACTGCACAGAAGGGATTTTGGGAATGGTGGAGATCGGCGGGGGAAGACATACCACTTCACCCGAGCAGCCCGGATCACAGGACTTCAGTTTTGGTGGGGCAGGCTCTTACAGGGCAAGCATCTCACCCAACAAAAGCATACGCAGGGGATGTGGTACGAGCAGCTTTTTTGGGGGGGTTGTGGGCAATGAGAGCACGAGGACTCAGGGAGGATAAAGCAGCCTCTATGCAAACACTTCGGGTCTGGACAATGAAGAATCTCAAGGTGGTCATCACAACAGACATAAGACGAAGACAGAAAGGAGGGTGGCGATTCTTTGAGACAGCATGGAAACCATACCCAGGAATTGTGGAAATTGGGAAGGAACCTGGGGAATGGAGATGGGGGTCTGTGTGTGTGGAAATGGATCCCTGTGGAACACCGCAGGAGGATCAAGGCAATGTGGAATCACAGGCGCAGCGGCCACAGGAAGGACAAGAAACCATACGGGAGAGGGACTGGAGGAGGGACAGGATATGGAACAGGCATACATGAGCATGACACAGAATGGCCAAGTAGAAGGACTGGAGGAGGGAACAAAGAATGACAAGGACACATACGATAAGGCGGAAGAGGGGCAACGACAGGCCATGGGAGCAACACTGAATTGCCAGGAAAAAGGAGGAGGGATGGAACCAAAGGCACAGGAAGCCGAGGAAACAGGGTGGCCCAGGAATGAGAAGGGAAGTGAAAACGATGCAGACACACAACAGACAGTGGACTTGGAGCAGGCCGAAATGGGAGAGTACACGGATCTGAGGCTTCTTGTGGATTTGGAGCAAGCCAAAATGGGACAGACTCAAATGGGGGCATCACAGACCGGCCCAGCAGATGTCGCCTTTTCGCAAGGACACATGACGACATCAGAGAGCCGAAACTGCTTGGAGGATGTAGACTCTATGTAGGTGATGCTGGTATTGAGGATCAATAGGCTGTAAACAAATGTGTGGTGAATAGAATGTAAATATACGGGGAGAACTCATATAGATGGGTATACGAACACTCCATGTAAATACTGTTGGAACTGAGAATACACAGGCTGTAAATAAACAAGAGCTTAGGGGACTGAAATGCATTTGTAGAAACCAGGGAGGGGAGAAAAGACAAAAAGGTTAACCTGAGACAAAACAAAGATCTTACGCGCATTAAGATATCCAATATCCCGCAAGAAGCATTCCCCATTTGTTCCCTATTTGCAGACGATCTAACCATCATGATGGAAGCGACAGAAGCTAACATGAAGGAGATTCAGCAGCTCATGAACAAGTTATGTCAGCTGTCCGACATGACGGTCAATTGGGGACAGAAAACAGTGGGTTGGTGGATGCACCATCAGGAGGGGAGACCCCCAGAGAACCCACGAATCACATGGCTCCGCCACGATGATCCCCTGAGAGTTCTGGGGGCACTAATGACTGCCAGAGGGAAACCGACAACGAATGATGAATGGTTGGCTGGACCGGCGAGAGCCAAGTTTGAAAAATGGAATAATAAACACACATCGATCTTCGGGAGAGCGCTGGTCATTAATAACGTAATTTTGGCCACACTTTGGTATAAGGCCATCTTATGGCCAATGAGTAATGGGGGCCTCAAAGCACTAAAGCAATAGCTGGCGGCCTTCCTTTGGAGAGGCGACAACAACACCTCTCACTCTGTAAGCCGTGTTGCATGGGAATCAGTGATCCAGCCTAAGAATAGAGGAGGACTAGGAATCGTGGATCCGGCCACGCAATTCCATGCCCTCACAATTCGCTGGATCCAGCACATTATTTTCTCATCTTCATCCCCATGGGTACCTTTAGCCCTGACCCAACTAGCTGACTTGGCCCCGGAAACCCTGCCGGAGATCGATCCCCATGTATGGTTAGAGGACAGGTACTAGAGGGTGCCTAGGAAGTATAGAAACGGGGATCCTGCCGACAAACATTGGGTGCGCCTTCTATGCACCTGGAGGAGACTTCCCCCCCCCGACCGACATGAGCCAGAAAGGTGGGAAGAATTATTTAGGCAACCCCTCTTTGGCAACCGCCTAATAACAGACCCCGAAGGGCGGATACGATGCAGCTCGGACACTCCCTGGAAGGGATGGGTGAAACATGGTGTACGGAGAGTGGGGGACTTATGGGACCAGGAGACGAGGAGTTGGAAGAACACGGGGCGAATGCGAGCCTGGCTACGGTACTGCCACCTCACTGAGAAGGCACTAAACGAACTTATTGAAAGTTTCCCCCTCCATTGGTATACCACCCTCAGAAAAGGCCCCTGCGTGGTAGAAGGAGATTGGGTGGGGCTGCCCGGCCGCAGCATGGAAGTGGGGAGGGTGCACCTGACAGATCCAGCTCACGTATTAATAGAAATCTTTTCCATTCAAAAGGATGATGAGTTACAATGGAACAAACAACCCTTTGTATGGGAGGAGAGAAAAGGGGTCTATCGCATCAGGATCATTGAGGAAGGAGGCCACCCAAAAGTGTATCGCCCAATGACCCCGATCGAGGACCTCCCCCTGGATCCCGACGAATGGAAATGGACCCAAGGTACCAGGCCTGGAAAAGGGGGGGGTGTCACACTGCCACTACACAACCTAAAATCTAAATCAGCCTACCGTATGCTAAGACCCAAGAGGGGGCTGCGAGCGAGTGTGGAAGACAGATGGTACCAACATCTCAATATTGATCACAACCTGCTCAAGCCTATTCGATGGTTTGCACAATATAGCTGCAGACCGGCTAAAATCTCGGCTCTCCAATGGCAAATAGAACACAGATGTTTACCTACTAACGACTGGCTAATTGACCACACCCGGCTTGAACAACAAGGGAAGGCGCTGCCATGGTGTTGCAAATGCCTCCAGAGCTTCCCTAGGAAGAGGCGGGCTGAAACTATCGAGCACATCTTTCTGCAGTGCCCGGCGTCAGTACTTTTGTGGAGAACCTGGGATAGGATCTGGCGGCATATTGTTCCCGATGCGGAATGGCCATGGGATTGGAGGGCTATACTCCTGGGGTACTACCCCCAAATTCGGGAGAATATCTTTGAGGAGAATATGTTTAACCTGGGAAGAAGGAGCGTCCTATGGACTATATGGTAGATGTACCCTCGAGATAGAAGGAGCGCGGGTGGATGACGGAGAAGTTATGGAACAAGTCAGGACATTAGTCCAGCATGAAATTGCGACCCAATGGAAGACTGTGAAAGACAAGCTTGACCAAATGCACGACTGGGGGGACATAAACAAAGCTATTTCTTGCTTCGGTAAGAAATGGCTGGGAAAGGAAAGGGAGGGATGGGTGGCCGAGGTAAAATGGTCCAGAAGTGATCAGCCTGAGAAGGGGCCACAGGAGGAGCCCCGGTTAGAAATAGAAAGAGACTATCGGCTGGTTTTCCACGAATGGACCAGTGTAGACCCGGGAGAAGCATTACGAGCAGCTCAGGACTTTGTAGACCCCTTTCCCCCCCCACCCTCTCTCCTTAGCAGAAATCCTGCTGCCTACATAATTCTTTCATGCTTCCCCCTCTTGATAGTCTCCAACAGTCTGTCAGAATAGAGGGAGGTGGGACACTGGACCCGTCTCCAGCATGTTGGCGTCACGTTTGGTCTGGTGCAGTATAGAAAAGGTTTTTTTTCGACTTTCTTCAGTATCCTTCTATAGTGACCCTGGCTGACTTTGGCCGATTTTGGCAGATTTTATTACAGCCTATTTTCTGGCGCCTCAGCCTTCAAATACAGACTGTGGTAATGAACAATGGGCGCTGGTGGATAGCAGAGGCTAGGGGAGGGAGGGAGACTCCACTGGTGCCCCCCGGTGGTCCCCCCCCCAACATCCGATCCTGCTGCAGACTAGGTATGACAGAATAGACGGGATATGGGACGCTGGACCCGGTTTCCAGCACCTGGGCGCCACTCTCATTATGGTACTGTGCAGCAAGATGTACTTACGGGACACTGGACCCGGTTTCCAGCAGGTGTTGCTCCCCACCAGACGTAGTCATGGGACGCTGGGCCCGGTTCACAGCAGGTGAGGCCTCCCACACAACTCTCAGAAATTTTCAGTACTCTTCAGCATTCTTCTGTATCTCTCCAAAAGATTTCAGCTATTTTCCAGCTGATTTCTACAGCCTGTTTTTCTGTTGCTTCAATGGGCGCCATGAGGATAGTGGGTGGATGGCAGAGGTTAGGGGATGGAGGGAGACCCCACTGGTTCCCCCCGGTGCCCCCCCCCAATACCCGACCCTGCTGCATTTTAGGTATGTAAGAGTACAGTGGATATGAGACGCTGGACCCGGTTTCCAGCACTGTGGTGTCACTCCCATTGATGTACTGTTTGGCAAAGATGTAATTCTGGGACGCTGGACCCAGTTTCCAGCAGGTGTTGCTCCCCACCAATAGATGGAGCGGCCCGCCAGACAAAGCCTCAATCCCGGTGGTTCTCTTACCACCACCAGGATAGAGGCCTTGCATAAGGGCCTTAAAAAAAAAACAAAAAAAAATTAAAAAAAACAAAAAAAGAATCAACGAAAACAAGGGGCGAGGTCCCATTAGCAGTCGGATAGGAGTGTGGCCGATCCAGTGTGACACTGAGTGGCAGCGGCCAGACAAGTTCATTACGAATTTCTGGGCGGAAAAAACAGGAAAAAAACCCAAAAAAAAAAAAAGAAACTGAGACCTACCACCGGAAATCACAGCAGAGTGTTTTCCATCCATCAGATCACAAATGATCTGATGGTGGTGGTTGCAAAAACAGAGAACAAAGTAACC